TTTGGATTTCTTTGGAATCAACCAGGTTATGGTTCATTTGATGTTCAAAATGATAAAGAAATAATGTGGACTGCAAATGCTACACATCAACTTGATTTATGGATAACAACAATACCTAAAGAAGAATCTCTTTCTTCATTATTCTATCCTATTCTTATGAAAAGTTATGTTGATGTGATCGGTCATCCGAATCCATTACCACATTTTGCTTCAGGTTTTTGGCAAAGTAAAAATCGTTATCGTAGTCAAGAAGAATTCTTAGATGTAGCAAAAGGTTATTATGATCGACAAATTCCAGTAAGTGTTATTGTCATTGATTTTTATCATTGGACGGAACTGGGTGATTGGAAATTTAACAGTACATGTTGGGCAAATATACCACAAATGATGAATCAATTACAATCATATGGAATGAAGTTAATGGTATCTATCTGGCCGCATGTGGCTGAAGACTCTGAAAATTTTATTACTATGAAAACAGAAGGTTTATTGACACATGATGCGAATGGAAGTGCTATAGTAACAAGTGATAATCTTCATATTCCTGATCAGTTTAATCCTGCTACACGATATTTCATATGGAATAAAGTAAAAACAAATTATTTTGATTATGGAATAAAAATATATTGGCTAGATGCTGATGAACCAGAAAAAAGTCAACCTGAATTACAATGGTGGTATGATCGACATGATGTTGAAATTGCAATGGTATGGGCAAGAGAACATCAACGAACATTTTGGGATGGATTAAGAGAAGAAAAAGAAGAAGAAATAATTATGCTAAGTAGACAAGCATGGATAGGAAGTCATCGAATGAATGTTGCAGTTTGGAGTGGCGATATTGATTCATCATGGGAAGAATTATTAAAACAAATTAAAGTAGCACAAAATGTTGCCCTATCAGGGATATATTGGTGGACAACAGATATTGGGGGTTATCGGCATTCTGATTTAGATGACAATCAATTTCAAGAATTAATATTAAGATGGTTTCAATTTGGAGCATTTTGTCCGTTATTTCGTTTACATGGAGAACGTTACCCACCTTTACCGAACAATGAATGTGGTTTTTCTGGGGGTCATAATGAAGTATGGTTATTTAATTATAGTAGACAAATTATTGATATTATTAAATTACGCGAATCTTTACGTGATTATGTTGAATATCATTTAAATATTTCACATGAAAATGGAACTCCTATTCTACGACCAATGTTTTATGATTTTAATAATGATATTGAATGTTATAATTCAGAAGATCAATATATGTTTGGATCAGATTATTTAGTTGCTCCTATTTATACATATCAAGCTACATCACGTTCAGTTTATTTACCTGCAATAGATAAACAAAATTCAGTTTGGCAACATTATTATACGAAACGAATTTATGATGGTGGTCAACGTTATAATATTTCTACTACTTTAAATGATTTTCCACTTTTTGTAAAGATCGCGTCTAATGATATTGAAATATTAGTATATTGATAGTTTGGTCTATTTTAAATTCGTCATCGAACGATATTCGTTGCTAACTTTTTCTTCTACTTTTCTGTATGAAAACACATCTTTTTCATTAGCTTTATCTAGAAAAAAAAGTAACTATAATCTATCTATTCATTCTCAGCCATAAGCTCAAAAACAAAAATGTTTGACTTGTAGGTTCTTCATCTAAAAAAACATATGTTCAAGTAATGCATACAACTATGTCATGAAACTATTGATGAAAATTCTGGAAAGTGTAGGTATTGGTAAGAAACAGAGACTCACATCCATCCTCTAGAAATAGCAACAGCTTCAGATTTATATCACAATGCCCCACAAAGATACAGATCAAAAAAACATCAAAAATAATTAATTTGCTAATTGTAATTTCTATGTCGCTAAATCATTCGATATATATTTTTTTTTGTTTGTTTGAAAGAGCATGCTTCGAAGTAATGCATGACAAACCTTTTTCTTTTTAATACTATTTCAATGGAAAAAATGATCACAAGTTTAATGACCTAAAAAAAATTTATAAAAATGAGTATCTAGATCTATAATAAGAGTAGAATGTACTTTAATAAAATATTTTGTCATATTCTGTATATTGGCATGTGTTTTTATGTGCAAAAAATTTAAAAATATTAAATGAATCTTGAGAGAAAAAATTGACAATGATTTTTGATTGTTTTTTTTATAAAAAGATCTATATTTCGAGTAATTTGCAATAAAAATCTTATAAGAACAATATTTTAACTAATATTCGGTATTTATAAACGAAACAAAAATTTCATTTTTCTGGATTTTGTAGGTTGAGTGCTATGTGACGCTTTTTGAATTTATTTTCCAAATGACACTATACTCTGAAAGTCTAATCTATATTCGAATTCGAAATTAGGCAACTCATTATTACCATTGTGATTTTATTTGTTCTTCTTTGTTAATGTATCGGGGTCAATAAAATCTTCTTCATGCATTTGAATATTTATAATTAGATGACATAGAACAGACGACCGAAATAAGTTTATTTTTTATTAAACTTTAAATATGCAGTAAATCACTTATTTCCCATAGAAAAATGATACGTAAATATTAATCCATCGTGCAATCTGAAATAATATTCCTCAAATATTTTATTCTAGTCTTTACCACGTACTATCTATTTTATTATGCAAGGACATAAATAACGGTGATTGAATGTGATAGTATATATAATTTACATGTGCAGTACTATTAAATTTAATGAAATTATGCAGATTGTTGAATAATAGAGGCAAGCGAAATGTAAGAGAGAATCAATGGAATTTTAATTTTACAATTAGACTGAAACTATAGTAAATAGAGTATAATATCACTAAATATTTGATAAAAATTTATTAGATGCAGTCATTTGTCAGTTGAAGTTAGAAATAAATACATTCTATGATATAAACTTCAACGATTAAATAACTTAGATATGCGTTTGGAATGCTTCATAACAAGTAATAAGATTATTATATTTTACATTACAATTTTGTTTGATAAAAAAACTTACAAACATTCTAACGTTAGTAACAAAAAATAGATCTTTCATGTATTCTATCTACCGCATTTAATGATGAATCTCATGAAGAAAATATAGATGTAATTAAGTTTTGCTCGACTTTCATGTAAAAGATGAAAAAATGAATAGTATAAAAAAAATCTTCATTCTAATTCATAATTATAAAATAGAAGGAACATATTATTTAAAGAATAATGGCAGTTACCATATTACCATTTATACAAACTCAAATTACTCGTTATGGAACATCTGCTTTGATTATTTTTGGTAATATTGGAAATTTTTTTATTATCATTTTATTTTATCGGCGCCGTCAAAATTCATGTGCATTGTATTTATTATGTGCTGCAATTGTACATAGTGCAACAGTTACATGTAATGGTGTAATAAATGTTTATGCACTTGATTATGGTGATCCAACAACTCGGTCTCTTCTCTTCTGTAAATTTCGTTCATACGTCCCACATTTATGGAATCAATCAGGCCGATATTTTACTGTACTTGCATGTATTGACAGATATATGTGGACAACAAATAATGCTTATGGAAGATTTATGAATCGATCATCAACTTCTCGTTATCTTGCAGCCATGGTGTTTATACTTTGGCATATTATTCCTATTCATATAGCTGTTCTAGTAACAATTAGTAATGGAAGATGTGGAGCATTTGGACTTTATTATGTTATTTATCAAGCATATAATTCAGCTTTTCTTGGTTTATTTCCACCAATATTAATGAGTATATTTGGTTTTTTAGCTTATCGTAATATGAAAAAACTACATTTACGTGTGCGACCAATTGGTAATAATGGTGATCATAATAGTAGAATTTATCGTCGTGATCGTGATCTATTATTAATGATATTAACTGAAGTTGTTGTTTATGTTTTGACAGCACTACCATATCCATTTGTTGTTCTAGAAATTGCAGTAACAAATTATATGGGTGTTGTTAAGTCTGCCGAACGTGTTGAAATTGAAAATTTTCTTAATTCTACTACATTAACACTTCTTTTTGTTACTTGTAGTTCTCGTTTTT